GGCTTGGGGTATGGTGGTTACGGTTTGTGGTTTAGATACTTCTAGGAGGAGGCCCAATGATTCGCAGTGCCAGTCTCGAGCAGCACGCAGGGGAGGTCAAAAAGACTACAGAAGAATATGAAAGCCAAACACACCAGGTGAGCACCCTAGCTCCTACAGTAAGCACAGCCAGGTTCCAACTCACCACAGAGGATCTGTAATGGCGAGAAATCCCAGCAAGGCAGTTAACATGTCTACAAAGACACTCGTCGATAGGTTTACTCCAAACCTTGACCCTAAACCTACAGATCTCCCTGGTGCTTAGTATAGGAAACAAAGGAATGGTGTACAGAGATCTACTTGGGGATTCTGTAGTGACTACAAAAAGGATCCATTGCCACATGCCCAAGTAAGCGCTTTAGGGTGGACCCTAGGGGATATATAGCATGGGACCCTCCCTGGTTATACAAGGACTCTCTACGGACTGGGTAAGGCTTGTGATGAGGTACTTAATGGCATTATAGGGCTCCCTTCTGCTAGGGTAGGTTTGGGGCCTTATAAGAATTCAATTCTTATGGCGTTATAAGGATTATATAGACATTAAGGGTAACAACTATTTTTTTATAGAGATTAAGCGTAGCAACTAGGATTATATAGGCATGAAGGGTAACAACTAGGATTATCATGGGTAACAACTACTAAGAATTATGTTCAAACCCACCCCTGTCTGGGGGGTGGGTCCCTCCTAATAGCCCGTAAATGCAGCTTAGCCTCCCCAACTTCCCAGGACTGGTGGATACGTGGCGTTCCAGCTCGTCTGCCTTGAGCTCTTCAGCGTTGCAACCCGTGGAAGTAGGGCTTCTATGTTTAAAGGTGGCGAAATACTTAAAAGATAAGCAAAGAAGCAAGCAAATAACTATGAATGTGTATATATACGTATAAATACATATACACGCATATGTACATATATATATATATACCCCTTCATAACCCCTAAAACACTGGAGTTTGGACTATAGCTCAAGTGTGTTTGCATATATGTATATATACTCTAAGGGATTTGGAACCCCAGTAGAAATTATAATTTCAGCTAAATATTAGGATTCTAGGTAACAGAAATTAAAAAGTATTTTCAGGAACCTTGTAGTATATAGATATATCTATATATCCAAGATGATACAGCTTTTTGGGAAGCCGGGAGCCAGGGTCCGTTCCGTGGGCAGGGAGGCGAATTATGGGGTTTAAGGTTTAGGGTCTCTACGGGACGTGTGGCCTCAAGCTGGGCAGAATGATGAGCAGGGTTTAGGGTTTAGAGTTTTGGGTTCGGACAAGCCCAGACCTGTTCACCTCTTTGATTGTCATTTTTGGCGGTGCTCTTCCTGAATCTTGAACCTTGGGCATCTAAGTCTATGAATGATGCAAACTGTGGGCCCTAAAGTCTATGATGGGTGCCTGCTTTGAGCTAGTTTGGATTCTTAGGGCAGAGGGGAAGCCAAAAAGTCCCTCTGCAACATTTGTCATGGCAAATCCTTCATGCCTTGTGCAGGTCCCTGAGACAAATGGGGGTAGTACCACGCCCTGATTGAAGGGCTTACACAAGTAGCAAAAGAGAAGAATGGGTATTGTGATGAGAAATTGATGGGATGACGTACTCTTGAAAACACCCATTCAACCCAAAACCCAAACGCTGACCTCAAATCAAATCCATGAGTCTGAGCCAAACTTGGTGAGCCCAAGGGTTCCCGTGGAAGCTTTGGACATGATTGCATGCAACTCTCTGTTATTCCAAGGATGCCACAGTTAATTCCAACAGGCAGGGTTCAGGACTTAGAGTTTCAGCCATGCTGCTGGATCATCAGTCCTGTTCCGTACTGAATCTGGCCTTTGGCCCATCCGACATTCAGAGGACGCCAGTCCTTCACAGATTTTGTTCACTGGGGCTTCAGCTGTAGCCCGGCATGGTATGGATGGCTGCCGCAAAGACGCAGGAAAGAACACATGCTAGTAGTTTCCATTTTCTTTCCCATTATCCCAATATAACCCCAATATATACCCTATAATCCCTATATAACCCATTATAGTACTTTCCATTTGATTTTCCATTATCCCAATATGACCCACATGCAATTCCCTCACTGAGAGGCCTTGTTTAAGTTCTGGCTGCGAGGTCCCTTGCACCACTCAAAACTGAGATTATCAGCCGGAGAGCCTGAATAGCCCGCATTTTATTTGGAGATACTATGGTACCCAATAATGGAGAATCAAGTGGAAAAGAAAATGGAAAATGAAATGGAAACTGGGGTTATATGGGGGTTATATTGGGGATATAGATTCTCTAATTCTTCCCATCACCATACCATCCCCAATCTGCTCGGAAATCTATATCTTCAATTGAAACAAATATAGCCCGCAGACGAAACGATTCTGTGTGCGAACGCATGTATGTGCACAAGCACGCGTGCCAGTCGCACCATACTTTGCAAACCGGTATAAAGCTGGCACCTGCATGTCATGGACCATGGCTTCTGGGATGATCCGCTTGGCGATGAGAAGGTCATAGAAGAAGGCCTCATACATGACTTTGGCTTTGAGATTCAGGGCTTAGGATTGAAGGTCTAGGAGTTAGGGTTTACGGACCCATGGTTGCAATGTCTCGGCAAAGGATACTGTGAATGGATATTCTACGGCATCCTCTAGTTCGCTGTGTCGCATTCCTGCGCTGGCATGTGGAGGTACTCGCACCTTTCAAGGGTGCTGGTGGCTTGCTGCGAAACAGCGAAATCTTTCTTCCATATGGATTGCAAATTTAGGCCAGGCCCGCATCTTCGACCTAACCAGCTGTAAAACCGTTTTGTATCAAGGCTTCTGTGGATTACAGAACCATGCAAGTGAGCAGCTAGAGAAGATGTATATGTAGCGGGCCTTCATCTCCAAACCACAAAACTGAACAAGAGGATTCGGCATTCTGCACTTCTTGTCCACTGGGGAGAGTTACTTACTTCAAGAAGGGAGCCAGCCACTGATCAGTTCAGAACAAACAGGACCAAACCAAATCCCTTCCTACAGGCATGTCTCCTTATGAAGAAAAGAACATGCATACACACATGCGCACATATCCTTACATACCTTAATCCCATAGATAGACCTTAACTCTAACCCTAAACGCAAATCATCATCCCTTAGACCTCACACCCTCTAGAGCTTAAACCCTGAACCGTAACTTAAACCCCTAAACCCTATAGCGCCTAGTACCACCCAAAACCCCTCTCCCTTAACCCCTAAACCCTTTGTGGCCTAATGTAGATCCATGATTAATACCCTCCTTCTGAGGGCCTAAAGATTAGGATCACTTTTATAATTCTTATTAGTCAGGGGTCTGGGTTAGTAAGCCAAGCCCAGGGGCAGCTGCGGCAGAGGCTGGAGAGATTAGGTTCCCACATGTCCAGCCGAGGACCGAAGCGTCCTCGAAAAGGATTTTAGGGTTTAGAATTAGTTTGAGGTTCAAGGTCTAGGCCCTAAACCCTAAACCCCAAACCCTGAACCCTACACCCTAAGCCCTTTGCATCCCAAACCCTGCACCGTACACTTTAGACAGAAGAGACTTCAAATGTGGGTATACATGCTGGTGATGATGCTTGAAGCAGGGACTCTAAGCGTAAGACTCCGAGCAGCTCAATGTAAGTACCATTTATCTTAGCATTATCTATATCGACTTCCAGCCGCAGGGTAATTGAGGGTAATTATGAGGATTCAAGCAGTACTTCGTAGAGCCGTGGTTCGCGCTGTGGGTTCTTAGACACGCTTCAGCTTCTGAACAAGCTGAGGCCCGATCACGTCGGGCTCAGAATTTAGCAGCGCCCAGGTTTCTATGTGGCGTGCCAGACACACATGATGCATGCAATCATGAAGCGGCTATGATGGCTGCGAAGAAAGTACAGCCCGAATGCGCAACACAAACGGCCGCTGAACAATGAAGTCCTTACTGGGATTTCTGGTTTTCGCCCACCTGAGGTTAGGCTCCCACTCACCAGTAGTGACCACAGGCGGTAATGGCAATTAGACTCCCATTGCATCAGTGCTAATTACTGCATGACAGGAACCCCAATGGAACCTAGTGTGATTAAGACACACCTGGGTGGGCTACGAGGTAATCCTTTCTGCCTTACAACAAGCCTGCGAACTGGCTTGGCTTGTGCAACTTCAGGGTAGAGGCTGAGCCTCGCGGGGTGTGATGTGCAGGCTTTGTCTTAGGCTGGGGGAGCTCAAGCCGATGATTCTTCTGTAAGCGGGGTTGTGCGCTGGACCCGGCGAAAAATCTGTGTCCCAAGAAACGACTACGAATCAGCAATAACATACCTCGAGAATTGCGGACAGGCCTTGATGCCCTTGGTCCTTGACGCTTCTTTCTCTGTACAGCGTCACCCTCAGAATTTCTGGCCCTTGGGGTGCATCTTCGGATCTGCCAGAAACAAGTGAGAAATTCAACTGGAGCTAGCACTGCAGACCAGCCTATTTAGGTACATATGACATACTTCTTCACTCATGAACTGATCATTGCATGACAACAACTTGAGCAACCGTAATTCTTACAAACTTACAAATGCTAGTGATACCGGTTTCTGTTTTCTTGTCAGAGGTAAGCGCGAGCGAGCCTCAGAGAAGAACATGCTCTACATCTAAGGGGCCTGCAGTTGGGTGACAAACACAGTTGTCGACGTTGGGCCATGATGCCCTAAGGCCCAAGGCGGTACTCAAGGCAACTACAACCAAAGAATCGGTGTCAAGAGTTTTCAGAATGCAAAATACTCGGAGTTTTACTACCCTGAAGCTTCACAATGCTCCCCATGAATTTGTAGTACTTCTGCGTGAGAAAGTCTAGCAGTCAGGCGGTTCAACGGCCTGCCTGCTCTGGAAGGAGAAAATTTTGCACAAATGTGCAGAAGGATGCTGCAATGCGCATGTCCGCCAGCCGCTGAGGAGTCTCTGTGAGAGACACCTCGCAAGACCAACGATTTGAAGTGCTAAATTTGAAAAACATCAGCGTCAGAGAGGGCGAGGCATGCCACCCGTCTGCATGCCGACGGATCTCCCTCTAAACCTTGTTGCAAGAAGGCGGGGATTGACAGTCCTTTCACAAAATCTTCTGCCCTCCAACCTCTGCAGTTGCAGATGTCTAGCCGTGCCCCGGCAGCAAGCAAGGCTGCGGCACCCTCGTACTGAGCCGATACCAAGGCCCACATAAGTGGTGTGCTTCCGGAAGCATGATAGGCTCTTGTCGATCCGACTGTTTTTGTGCCGAACCGGTGCTTCATGGCTTGGGCGCTCATAAAAACTCGGCCCACCAGGGTCCAGTCGCGGCGGAGGTTTTGCTGGAAGTTGACGTCCGCTCTCAGGTCGATCAGTCGCTGCACCATCTCGGCGGAAGCACCCCGACCGCCGTCGGAACATGACAGTAGAGCCCTCGACGCATCAAGCGAAGTGGGCTGACAGTGCTGCAGCAGTTCCTCCAGCGCTGCCATGCTTCCATAAGCAGCCGCGCAATCCAAGGCACTTGGCCCAAGAAGATTTCTCGCAAAGGGCGAGCTGCCAGCAGAGCAGAGCAGCCGTGCTCCCTCTTCGTTGTTCGCGTTGCTTGCCCACTGCAACGCTGGTCCAAAGCCGCCCTCCGGCTGGGCCCTTGCTGCCAGGATCAGCTGCGCGGCATCATTGTGCTTGTAAAAAATCGCCAGGTCCAGTGGTGACATCCAAAGTGGCAGTCCCAGTTGTGGCACATCTTTCAAAGTTCGCTGGTTTGGATTGGCCCGAAGCCGAAGCAACCCTTCCACAACGTCCACGTTTCCAGAGAGCGCCGCGTAGTGCAGCGGCCGCCACCCTGCATTGTCAGCGCCGCTGACTGTGGTCAGCATGTTCTGGCGGAGGAAGGATTCCGCTGCCGTGCTGTGGCCACTCACGGCATTTGCAGAGAAGCCAGGCACGAGGTCCTTTATGGGCTCAGCCGCCAGCCCCCGCAAGTGCACTGTTTGTAGGTTTAGCAGGCGGCGGTACGCAGGTAGCTCCCACTTCTGCAAGCACAACCGCAGCTTTCTCCATAGCAGACTTCGCACTATCGGCGCAAGTTTATCTCGATCAGCTGCTACAGTGAACTCGCCCTCCCCCACAGAGGCGCTGGGAAATGACAAAGCGGTGCCGACCAGCTCGAAGGACGCGGAACTTTGAACCAGGATCCAGGTATCGTGCACGGACAGTTCGCGTGCGGCTCTTTCCATTCTGCACCAACCGCGACAGCTCCAGGTTCTGGCAGTAAAGACTTTGTCTTCTCTGGGACTGTCAATTACGGGGCAAAGGGCAAGAAAAAACCGACATGCCTCCACATAGGCTGAAATGCTGTGGATGCAGGTGTCCTGCTGGCTGCCGACCGAGCCGTCCATGGAGCGGACGTCACAAATTTCCAGCTGTGGGCATGAAAAATAATCGTACCAGATGAATAAGGGGCTAGACTGAAAGACATGCATCGGCAGAGGCTTGGCCCGGAACACGAGTGTCTCTGTTACGTAGTCCAAAGGCACAGAGCCTGAGCTTGTCATGAGATGTCGCAAAACATTCTGCAAAATGCTCATCTGCCTGAATTCGGGATCAGGGTGTTGCTCGGCAACCCACTGGTGTGAAACGAAAAGAGCGTTCCCCTTGTCGATGTCGAAGATGACGAGGTCGCCCCGAACCTGCAACACTGTACGAGACGCATATGACAGAACGACCGAACGGCCTAGCAACACTTTTCCTGTTGTGGTGGGCCAACATGGCCGGATTTTTTTGTTGCAAGGCTGTGGCTCGGGATGTGATTTTTTCAAAATGTGGCTCGCGGCTTTTAGGTCTTGGAACACTTCAAACGCTGCAAACTACAGCATCTAGCTGGGAACGCTTCAAACTCTGTGAATTACAGCATCTGCTGGCCCTGGAACGCTTCGAATGCTGTAATTTACAGAACCTGCTAGTCTTGGAACGTTCGAACCGCCACGAATTACAGCGTTTGCTGGTCTGGGAATGCTTCACAGGTTGTAAATGACAGCGTCTGCTGGTCTTGGAAAGCTTGACACGTTGCAATTTCATAACGTATGCTGCTCTTGCAACATTCCACTCCTTCAACTAGTTCTTTGGGAAACAACCTGTTGTTGGAATGGGGGGGAATATGGATAAGGCTTATGTGCTACCTGTTGGCTGATACGAAAAGGTGGAATGGAATTGAAAAGAAGTCACCATGTCATTGAGGGTTATCTAGGAGAAATCCGGAAGTTCCACTCTCCATAACAATAAGAATCTGGTTCAGGACATGTTCTGGAAATATGAGGCTGTAAGAAAGCTGGTTGAGCCTAGATCCTATATCATAAGCCAACATGGTACCTGCTAAGTCCACTCCAAAGCCCTGAGCCTCAAGCTCCATAATTGCTGTTCTGTTGCTATTCTTGCCATAGCCGTGAACTCTATTGTTGCTGTCTTGTGTTACCTTTGCTGTTCTCGGTGTTGTAACGGTTTTGGCCATCACTGCGATTCGCATTATTACTTCCAGTAACATTTTTTTTTGTTGTTGGAATGGTTGATTGTATGAAACTGTACATAAACCCTGCGGTTGTCGCGGGGACTATGCAATGCCATCATGCTGCTTCGTGCGGCGAAGGGCGCACAGCTTTCAAGAAGCGGGGGTGTTTGGGGGGCTCAGCCCCCCCGCCCCATGTGCAAATAAAATGTGTCTGGAAGGTCCGTCGTTTCTGGCAATCCAGAGTGAGGCAAGCATGCGCGGCTTTAACAACTAAGCGAGGGGGCTGGGGGGCAGTGCAGCTCGCTTGCACTTGCAAGTGCGCTTCCACTTGCAAATGTGTCATGAAGGCAAGCACGCAAGGCTTTAAAGAAGCGCTGTGAGGGGGGGGGGAGGCAGCCCCCCATGTGCAGACACATGATGATTGACGATCCGTCCTGTCCGGCAGATAGAACGCCCACATGCTGCTATGCGAGGCAAGAATGGGTGGCTTTTTAAAGAAGCGGGAGGGTTAAGGGCCCCCAGCTTATGTCCTACTTATGTGAGCAACAGTCAATATCTCATACAGAATTCCATGGTAACCCGCATGTTGGCAAGTAGCTCATGTGAACACCTCATCCGCCTGACCTTCTCAGCAGGAAGTCACCATCCACGAAACATAGGCCGCTAATTGCATCACAGGTTCAAGGCAAGCGGCCACAAAAGCCATCCGGAAAATCTCCTAAAACCCCTAGACTTCCTGAGCCCGCAAACCCCCTAATCTCCATGAACACTCCTGAAGTCCTGCAGTCCCCGTGCCTCCGTAAAACCCTCCGAAACCCTGCGTACATCACGAAAACGACTACCTTAAGCAAGGTACCTGCCAGAATGCCCTCGCCCCAGCCTTGAGCTCCTCATGCGGGCGGATCTCCGTCATCTTCAGCAGAACCTTCCGCTGGCTGAACATCACACGTTCTGGGGGGCTGTAGGGTTTCGAGCTTACCTTCCTGGAACATACCCTGACACTGGCAAGAATTCCTATTCAGCTTAGGAAGTTTATAAAGCCTATAGGGCCTAGTAGGAATGGCAAGGAACATGGAAACACGCATGTTGTTTAGGGTTGGCTTGATGGGGGGTATGGGCTAAAGTTACAAGACATATTACGGGGAGTGTATAGGGATGACTGGCGGCGTCTCCTATTCTCAGCTCAGCATAAATTCCCTCTTGTAGCAGGACTAACCCTCCCCTAGACTAGCATGGAGATTGTATGTAAGGCAATTAGTCCTTGTACGCCCTTGTTAGGCTTCCATCTTAGCTGCGGGTAGGTTCGGCTTTGCAATGACAGTGGATCAAGGGATCTAGGGATGCAGAGGCGTAGAGGTTGAGAGGTTTAGAAGCTCACTGTACTCCTCTAATTACGGAGGATCCATTTAACTATCTCTCTCTCTCTATATATATACATATAGGTAGGTAGATAGATAGATAGATGAGTATATATATATATACACTTAGTCGGACCCCAACAGAATGACATGCGAACCATCTTGGGCCTGAGTGTCGCCTATGCGCCAGCATGGACACCTTGGGATTTAGAGGACTTTCTACGGGACACCTTGCTGCAAGCCCCAATCCTCAACCCCCAATCCGAGGGTTTAGGGTTTATAGGGTTAAGGGAAACTCACAACTCCGATGATCCATATAGTAACCTCAATGATCCCCAGCATTATCGCTCAACCCTAAACCGCGCGCGCCTCCGCGGCAACTGTGTACATTGGGAAAAGCATCGGCGCTGCCTGGGGCGAGCCGCCCCGAACAGACGGCCCAACAACAACATCTTGCTTATTGCCTAAAAAACCAACTCACCCATGTCATGGGCCACTGCGAAACAGCCTCCATGAATCCTGTATTACAAAAAACCCGGGAACCTACGATGTAGGTCACAGGTCCCTGCGCGTTGCTAGATTTAAACTCATCACCGCTGCTGCTAGTGTTCAGGCAGCACTCTTTGGGACTTTTGGGTCGGGCCTAGCAGTTGTGGAATTGAATTGTCCTCCTGACTTAGGGGCTTAGAGTTTAGTGTCCTTGTTAAACAGTTTTCCTTGGAACTCTACTGTCCGGGAGTGTAGGGCTTTGGGGTTAGGATTGACGGCAATTATAAGTGGTGGTCTACGAAAGGAAGTCTTCAAGCGCTTCCCGAGCTACGCCAGCGGCATCGGACAAAGGGTTGGCATCATCAAGCTCCGCTTGAGCGGCGGAGCTGCGCGGCAGGCAACGGGACATGGCCGGCAAGAAACAAGTTGAACCCTAAAATCCAGGCAGCCCTGAATCCACTTCAGATCCATGAATCGCTAAACACTGAAAGCTTCCAGCACTCCTACATAACAGGCCTTGCCTAATCTGCCGCTCATACATGTATTCTCCGAGCCAGAGTGCCACCACAGTCAAGGGGCGGAATCCTGCATGACCTCAGATATGCTAGAAGACCAAGGTTCTTATAGGACGATTTGGTCACTATCCCACGGATGTCTGCACTATGTGTCCACGGGGACAGGACAAGTTAAAGAGAACAAATAATCCCAGCATCCAATAATGTCGAGTCCCGATCAGTGTGGGGTTCCTTAAGTGTGCGAAGTTTCGCCAAAATTTTTCAGCACCGCCAAATATGATTTGTGCAAAGTTGCGCGTCCAAAACAAATAATTCTCAAAATTAGTCAATAGAACAACTAGACCCAATTTGCTTTCAAGAACATGGCAGGCAGTAAACAATTTGTTTAGCACGCTAATACAAGCTGCTCTTTCAAACTTAGACTTGAACCCTTTGTCCAGAGCTTCCAGAACCTCAAATCTCGGGATTCTGAAGACATCAAAACTCCAGATATTCAGGTTCGAAGCCAGGTCCACAACCGTTGATTTCTTATAAGACCGCTGATTCGAGGAGGCCTAGCAATCATTTTTGCAACAGGATAGATAGTCCAGCAGCTGCCCAGAGCCTCAATGATACGAATGTTTTGGCGGCCCTCAACTATCCGTCAAATCGCGGGACATTTAAAATAGCAGGAAGCAAACATACTTTCACTTTTAAAGGCTCAGCATTTCAAAGCAAACCTTTCAAGATTTCAAATCTCCGGATCCTTTCTAGAATTCTCCTCACAACCTTCTGAAACGTTTCTGAAAACTGAAAGCCTCTGAGCACCTGAGACCTTTAAGAATGCCTTCCGAAACCCTTCTGATCTATTTCCGAAGCCGATCCTGATCCCTCCTATTGCATTGAATCTAAACCTAGGCTTCGAGCCGATCCTGATCCATCCTAGTGAGTTTAATTACACCCGGGATCCAGCGCAATCTTCATCCTTCATATTGAATCATGTAACTGAAGCCTAAGATCCAGATTTGCTTAAGCCCTCCTATTGAATCATGGAAGTTAAGTGAAACCTAGCATGCAGATTCAGTTGGGGGGTTCCCCCTCTCATTAATTGGGGACCCCATTTTGTTTGGGGGGGTGGGCTGTCCCCCTACACTACTCAGGACCCACATTACCTAGGGCCTTTCTGAAAGAGTTTGTGGAGGTGTAAGGCTGGAGAGACCCAGGCAAAAAATCTGCATGATTGCGCTGGGGCTTGGGCCGGCTTGGGCTGTGCCAGGAGGCTTGTATGAGGATAACATTCTGAAAATTCTGGTTACTGACAAGGCCCTCGCAATTTACTCTTGGGCCAGGCGTCCTTGTACTGATGAGGAAGTTACTCGGGATAATTCCAACGGGACCCCTTTCCCTGGAAAGTACCTTTACACAGGGGCGCATTGGGAGCGTAACTTGCAAAAGGCCTTGCCCCTAGCTCTGAATTTGTATGTTTCGGGGTTTGGGGATTTTGGACCTGCGCAACCTGCACAATGCATCAAGTATTTAGGCCCCGCTCCAACCAATCTGGAACCCATATGGACTGTGAAAGGCTATTGGTTTCCATGCTAATTTGCGGGACGCTCATGCAGTGCATTCGCAAGATGCAACTGCCATGAACAGCTTTTCGCATGGTACCAATTTGGGCACTGCGCTGGTGGTCGCCAGCATCCTCATTCTACACTGCTTATACCGTCGAGCGGCAGGCTTTGATTCATTGTCAGGGGTTCATAGTGCTTCAGGGTGGGGACCTCTCCTCTCCATTACCCGATAAAAGTTGACTCATCTTGCAGGTTTTACGTATGCTAGAAATGCCACCGCAGCATTTAAAAAAGGATGTGCACCAGGATGTTGCGACGAGAATGTCTGCCAGCCCCTCGAGGCCCGCGAAAATCCCTTTGAGACACAACTTGCAAGCCCACCAATGTTGCAAGTCAAACTTGAAAAACATCAGCGTCAGAGAGGGCGAGGCATGCCACCCGCTTGCATTCCGACGGATCTCCCTCCAAACCTTGTTGCAGGAAGCCGGGGATTGACAGTCCTTTCACAAAATCTTCTGCCCTCCAGCCTCTGCAGTTGCAAATGTCTAGCCTGGCACCGGCCGCAAGTAAAGCAGCTGCACCCTCATACTGAGCTGACATCAATGCCCACATGACTGGCGTGCTTTTGGAGGCATGATAGGCTCTTGTCGAACCGACTGTTTTTGTGCCGAACCGGTGCTTCAGGGCCTGGGCGCCCAAGAGCATCCGGCCGAGCAGGGTCCAGTCGCGGTGGAGGTTGTACTGGAAGTTGACGTCCGCTCTCAGGTCGATCAATCGTTGCACAATCTCAGCGGAAGCACCCCGACCGCTAAGTGCACACGAAATTAATGCCCTGGACACATCCAGGGAAGTCGGGTGACAGTGTTTCAGAAGCTCCTCCAGCGCTTCCATGCTTCCATAAGCGGCTGCGCAGTCCAACGCATTCGGTCCAAAAAGATTTCTCGCCAGGGGCGAGCTGCCGGCAAAGCAGAGCAGGCGTGCACCCACTGCGTTGTTCCCGCTACTTGCCCAGGTCGAGGCTGGTCCCACGCCGCCCTCCATGCGGGCCCTGGCCGCGAGGAGCAGCTGTGCTGCCTCGTTGTGTTTGTAGAACACAGCCAGGTCCAGTGGTGACATCCAAAACGGCAATCCCAGTTGTGGCACATCTTTCGAGGTTCGCTGGTT